ACACCTTCCCTTTTTTTGGGTTATTTACCACAAAGACTTAAAAACCCATATCTGAAAAGATATTTGCACACCAGTGTTCACAGCAGCATTATTCACAGTGGCCAGGACATGGAAGCAACCGAAGTGTCCTATGATTGATTGGCTAAAGAAGCTGTAGTACATATATACAATGGAATATTACTCAGCCATAAGAAGAGATGAAATACTGCCATTTGCAACAACATGAATGGACCTTGAAATAATCATACTAAGCGAAATAAGCCAGACAGAAAAAGTTGAAAATTACATGATATCACATATGTGGGATATAAACCTAAAAGCAACAAACAAACAGGATAAACAGAGACTCATAGATGTGGACAATGGACTAGTGGTTACCAGAGGGAGATGGGGGGAGGGAGGAGTGAGAAAATGAAAAAATAAAATGTAAAAAAAACCCCAAAAGAATATACAGATGTCATTATAATGTACACCTGAAAACTATATAATTGTATTAACCAATGTTATCCCAATAAACTTAATTAAAAAAAGAAATCTAGCATAATAATATTACCAAAACCTGACATTCTATATCATAACATAAAATTATAGGAAAATAGCAATTATATCAATGGATAGCAAATCAATAAATATCAAATCATGCAATTAAACATTGAAAAGTAAATAAGATATAAAAATGGTAATGACTAGTAAAATTATAATTATTTACAGAAAACATAAATAAACTAAATGAACAATAAATGAACCATTGTAAATAGTAAAAAAATAAATAAGTATAGTTTTAATAAGCACAAAAATATAACTAGTTAGTAAACAAAATTTAAAAAATTCCATTTGTAACCAGAAAAATAGAAAACCTGGTTAATGTATAAGAAACAAAGACATATGAAGAAAACTAGAAACTCTGAGGGGCACGAAATAACTCTTGAATATGCAATAGCTATAGTGTAAAAATATTCATTCTCCCTATATAAACCTATAAATTTAATGTAATACCAACTAAAACATCAACAGAGTTTTAGCGACTAGTTGGAAAAATCTGA